TGCATTCAAATCCACTCTTTTTTCTACAATCGATTCATCCGTTTCTTTCACTTTTCAGTTGTTTCTAACAAATCAGAGAAATTAAATACAAATTCAATTACAAAATAAGAAAAAATTAATAATAATTTAATTAAATAAGGTTTAATGAAATGTAAAACAAAATTAAAAATAATTAATTGAAAAATAAATGTAAGAAAAACTCATTTATAAAATGAAAAATAAAATTACGTTTAAAATAGAGATTTAAAAAATAATTTACTAATTATTAGTAATTCAATAATACTTTAATTATTAATAAGAGTTATTAGAGTAATAAAAAAAAGTAATTTTTCACATTTTGTAAAAACATTTTAACATTTCCGATGAGGTTATCATTTGTGCAAAAGTCCACCAGAAGTTCAATTAATCTCATTTCTCGGGTCTTTTCGAAAGTTTTTCCATCACTTGTTTCACAGCAAATATGCCCTGAAATGAGAGCCAAAAACCAAATGAATGGTAAGTTTCATGTGATATAAGACAACAACTCTTACAAGTTTTGTGAACCAAATTTAGCGCCGTTTGAGACACTATTCATACATAACGTAACCATTTGTGTGGGAAGTGATGAACGGCTGACAAACCTGTCAACAAGTCTTCGCCTCTGTTTGTCGTCATTGATGGCCGACTTCTGGGTTTCACAATCACCACAACTGATCTGACATTGGATTCAATGATAACATTAAGACTTTACACCCATTAGTACCCAACAAAGTCTGTGAATTGAGTGCATCTGTTTGTGTGGATCACCGGTGAAGACAATTTGGTGGACAGACATGTCTTCCGTGCGATCGTATGTGTTGTCAGTGTTGGTCCACATGTCGGCCACAATAGTCTTCGGGTTCTGTGAATTGAGTGCATCTGTTTGTGTGGATCACCGGTGAAGACAATTTGGTGGACAGACATGTCTTCCGTGCGATCGTATGTGTTGTCAGTGTTGGTCCACATGTCGGCCACAATAGTCTTCGGGTACTCTCTGTACTGGTGTTACACTAATCCCGATATACCGACGAAGAATCCGCGCGGATCTATGGCCTGGAGATACAAATACTTGACATTTTGGGATCTGGTCTGTAGTAGTGATGATCTGTTATCTGCCATTTGGTCCCCCGATTGACAGTGTCTTGTCTTACAGTGGCTTCAATTCATCGCATTCTCGTTATGCCTGTTGTCCGACATTTTAGGCCAACAATCGATATCTTCGGGTTTCGTTAGACTTCGAGACACTGTCTTCAATAGTCTCGCGCTTCCCATCGGATTCGTAAGTATTGATTACATTTGTGGTCACTCTTTGCTATTAACATAGATATGGATTGTTTTTGCCATCAGTTTGTTGTGACCACATTCTGGGCTATCTATGCATTTAATAGGGAACTGGTTTTCCCGACGGGTGTTGAGAAATGGTACCCCTCGTGGCTGAATCACACCACTGTTAGTATTGCACTCATTGTCACCATAAGATCCAAGTCCTAAGACATTAACGCTTACTATGCATTATATTCAGCACTCGATTATATTGCCATTACTATTGTTGGAGTCATATCTGGTCCGACACTCGAGCGGTCGACAGCGCACGGCATACCCACTACTCCTGTTGTCTGTAGTGATTGT